ATCAGAAATAAAAATTAACTCAGTAATTATTCAAGTTTTATGTTTAAGAGCATCTGTAAAAATTCTTAAATAATAACTTAGTAATTAATCTCAGTATACACAAACAAGATTTTTTGTGTAACAGTTTTCATAAAATTTAAATTTCAGCTTCAAAATGAAAAATCTTAATATTGCTCATTTATATGTTGCAACCATCTTTAACCACCATTCTCGTATCACAGTACCTTACTTAATTGTGACTTAAAATTGAAAGTGCACAATAAAAATATTTAAACAAAATATGGTTTTCATTAGCCCTTCTGCCATACATAATGTTTGAAAATGTATGAGTACTAGCTTAATAAAGGAATAAAGGTCAAGTGTTTTTTGTGTCTAATAAAAAACATACCTTTGCTAATGGGTTTTTCATATACAATTAATATGATACTTGGGTATAGCTTTATCACCTTCACATTTGTTTCTTTAATAATCAATGAAGCCTACAGCTTATGCAGGCAAAGTTCAGTCTGTTCATACATCAATATGCAGCTTGCTCATTCTTGCTTCTAGTTTGTTGACTTGCTGTGGAGCAGATTATATATATATATTTTCCTGAGTTATAGCATACATGTAGCAGTTAGTTACAACTCAGATTATGGACTTGCATGTAGGGCTGGTCTACAAGTGTAATATGCTAATGGATTACTTGTCAGGCTCATTAATCAATTACATCACAATTATTCTCACACTACTTGAGATAGCTAAAAATATATGTAAAACAAATGTTCAAAACTTTCTGTCACATTTTTCTTAACATTTACTATTTGGCAAATCTCTCATGTCAAGATGACCACATGGTAGCCATTTCGTTTATTCTTAAAATATGCAGTAATCTGTGTAAATCAAATAACGAAAACATGTTTCACTATCACTGATAACGGTAATCATGTTTTCATTTAAAACATTTCACGATTGCAATTAGAAATCATTAAGTAGTCAGTTACACAATTTATTTCTGTAAATTGTTTAAATATCTTCTATACTATTATTCTGCTTGTTTGTATGTACGACCGTTACGCTTTCTGACCAAGAACCTGCTGCATAAGCATGCATAGTTAGAATGTTTCCCCAAGGAAAACCGTGCATGCGCATTATTCACTTGACGACAAACAGTCTGCCTGTGGCAGAGAGCTGCAAAGCTTGGTGATCAAGTCGCTACAATTGCTGTAAGAAACAATAAGTAACAACAAAAGGGGAATGTAAATATACTTTACTAACCATTTTGTACAACAGAATATTAAAAACTTATCAAAGTATTTAAAAAAGGTTTGACATTAGGTCGTAGAATAATATTATAAGTTTATTTATCGATGGTATTAAGTACAGTAAAGTTTAGTCCTAACTAAACTAAAGTAAAAAAAAAACTTAAACAGGCTACAGTGTTAATTTATCTCTTTATCGAACTTAGGCTTAATATAAATTAAAGTTTTATAAAGTACGGCCAATATACAAGTGGATTTACACATTTCATTGTCTACGATTACAATTTGTTTGTATTGTGCTAGAAATGTTATATTTAAAGAAGCATTGTTACGATAAAGAATCTAATTTGGCCTGATATGTTTTGCAGGTCTCTGCTAGTTAGCATAAAAATGCTATTCAATAAATAAGGATTTGAGTTGTCAGAATATTTTGCAGTCACCTACTATGCTCACTGAAGCAACTAAACCTTACTTTATATCTTCTCATCTAATAAACTTTCTGTAGCTTTCAGAGAAATACACCTTAACACCAAGTAGAAACTTTCCCATGAAAACAAACTACTGCTCAAACGACTATATTTACTGTACTATTACTTACAAAGTCTAATCCTTGCTTTATGCAATCATATTTAAACTTTCTTTGTTGCACTTTTCAAAACTGTATTTCATTAGTAAATGATCAAACCACTTGATGTGACATCATAAACAGGTCAAAAGAAAAGGAAAATACTTGAAAAATCAAGAAATGGACAATATACTCTCAAGGGGCGGTAGGTGCTTACTCAACTAATGTTATTTTTTTAGATAGGCAGACAAATTTTAAAAACATTGATAAGTGCATTGTTTACAGACAAAACTCTTCAAAGCTGTGCAGAAATGAAAATTTGAGCATTTAAAACATTTTTCTCTGTGAATTACACTAAATGTTAGAAAATAGTTAAAATTAACATATATAAGATTGACTTAAACATTTGTATAATTGATACTTGAAACCTTCTGTATTTGGTGAAACTTCATAATTACAGAATTGAGAAAAAAAAAAGACAAATGTCCATTTCACAAACACTTCATTTATTAATGACCATGGTTTCACCAGTAAAGGCATCATCAGGTACACCTGATGATGGTTTTTCTGGCACAACCATGGTCTTTAATAAATGAAATGTTTGTGAAATGTACAGTTGTCTTTTTTTTTCCCTCAACTGTGTTGAAAATATTAATTTGATGAAAAAATATGAAATGCTACAGGAAATCCTCTCGTCATGTACAATAATAGGAGTAAGTTACTTCATTAATCTTACACTGTTGTACATGTAAATGTATCATACATGCAAAGTAATACAAAACCTGTAAGAAGCTGAAAATACTGCTGTAAAGTATATCTTTAATGTTTAAGAAACTGGGGGTCTTAATGATAATGTTCTGATCAATAGTTTAATAAGATAGGCCTACAACACCTAAAAAGTTCTAAGGATATGACAAAGTTTTCTCTTACATTTGAAGCTAGATTATAAATATGAGATAGTTGAGAAGTGTATAGAATTGTTTTAAGAGTTGAAAGATAGTCAAAGAGATAAGAGTTTTGCAAGACAGTAGAGTAACTGAGTCAGTGTGTTAACTATTGCAGTTATTGGGTAACTTTTTGCAATTTAGTGATTTGATATTATATTAGTCCTAGTATTATAAGAGAGGTTTGAATGCCATCTTTGATGTAGACCTATACAAGTGTTCATGCTTGTAGAAACATTAAGGGAGGAAATAAATTAAATTCTTATAATTTTTTATGGACTGAACTTTGAATTATTTGCACCAGTTAATTTGAAAGAAACCACCAACAAATGAACAATTCTACAACATTAGAATCAATAGTGTTCAGTGATTTTTTTCAATAAATTCCCCAACACTACTATTAGTATAAAAAACTAATGAAAATTTATTGATGACAATAAACATATTACTTTGTGAAATTTTCAAACAACTTTTTATAGAAAGCTAATTATCTTTATCACACTAAAAAACCTCACATAAAATATTCTAAAAAACATCACTAGTTTCAGCTAGGCAGTTAGAGCTGGGAAATTAGTTGTATTTGGTAATCAATTAACTGATGGCCCAAATAATCAATTACATTTGATTAATTGATTATTCCCACTATCAATAGTTCAAAATCATGAATGGTGATAGACAGCTTTAGTAACTTTTCCATAAGAAATATGCAAGCACTTTGGTGGTAACAGGAATTGAACCCAAGAACCTTAAATCATGAGGTAATCACACTTAATCACCCAAAGCTGAATAAACTTGAATTAACAGGAAAAAAAAACAACTTATAAGCTAAAAATACAATTTTGGTATTTGTGGTGGACAGAGCATAGACAGCCAATTATGTATCTTAATAACAAATATAATGGTAATATTGTGATTACTTAGATAGTTGGAATAATCAAAAATAGCTGTAGTCAAAAATCCTAATTTCAATTACTTTTATGAGTTGTGGCAATAATCAATTTAGCAAAGGCATTGCTAAGTGCTGGCACATGGATCCCATGCCGATTCTATTTGACAGTGCCTGAAAATTGAAAAACCATGATCAATATTATATTGAAATGCCGAAAATTCCTGTGCCCATGGGCCTGAGCCCCAAATCTTTTAAATACCTAGCAACACCTCTGCGATTAAGCCTAACAAAATTGAACTATTACAAAATAATAATGATAAATCATAATGGCAATATTTTGATTACTGGATAGTTGTATAAACAAAAACACTAATTCTGATTAGTTAATTATTTTCATGCCATTAATCAATTTAATCATAGTTCTGATTATTTCACGACACTAATCAATGTAACTGGTTCTCACAGGTAATGAATTATATTGTTTAATTGAGTTAATCACCCAGTTCTTTTTACATGTAAATATATTTTTTTGCAGTCCAGTTGAAATCCACACAGAAGCAGAACTTGTTTTGAAATTGAAGGATTTTAAAATATAAATTGCAAACTACCCATAACCAACTTTAAACTATAACAACAGAGAAAGATACAAGAGAAAAATAAAAGTAAAGCAACTAACAACGTCCTTCTTTGCCATAACAATACCTTTATAACTTATTTCAGAAATTATAGTATCTTCTATATTGCTAGCACCAAGCTATATGCACTGTCAAAACACAAGTCTGCATACACAGACTACGAACATGACAAAGTTTCTTAAAATCAGGTACCATTCTGGTAGCTTTTCTCAGCATGATCTCCTGTGACTGATATCTTTCCTATAATGATTCCAAAACTAAGAAAATAGCCTAAAAATGACCTAACAAAAGATTAAGAACTTGTGAAAATGATGTTCTTGTTGTTAAACTAATATAATTTAAGAGATAAGGGCTTAATATTAAATAGTTAAATAACTCTAGTCATCACAGATACTTATTCAAAGGTTGCAGTCACAACATTTATACCCATCACAAAATATTATTTCACAAAAGCAAGACCTTTGATTGTTCAAAATTCCTGCACCTTAAATGTATGACTTCAAACTTTTAATTGTTCAAAGAGCTTACTTGCATTCTTTGCCATTCACTCAGCTATGCTAGATCCTTCCCAATCAAATCAACATTCTTGTTAGCACCAACTTTCCCTAATAAATTATCACTGAAAAATTTAGGTAATTTACATCACACGTTACTATTATTACCATTAATATAAATAATGAGAAACATATATCCTAAAAAAAACACACCTACAAAGACATATTTTACCTGAGTCCAATTCAAAGACATCATCCGTTGTAGTTGTGGGTGTTACAGTTTGGACCAGCTTTTCTTCAGCTCCACTACAAGAAGGATCGTTATCTAATTCCTGGTCACTAGACAAAGAATGCATGTGGAAGCCATCATCATCGGAATCAACAATAAGAACTTCTTCTTGTGAAACACTAGGTTTACCCTCTAAATTATTTTTCAGAAAATAATCAATATTAACATATGTTGAGAAACTGGGACTATTACAGCCATCTTGTTCCTGAAGAACTGGGCTCTCTATGTTAGTCTCTGTCACAGATGCTTGTGGAGATTGATTATATGCTGCCTGACGATCTTGATATCCAAGTATTGCTCTTTCAGAAAACACGACATAATCTCCCTCATCATCATCTTCTTCAAAAGGTACTAATGTATCTAATTGAGATGAGCTGCTATCTTGTTGAGCAACAAGGTTTGGTGGCTCCAAATCCTCATCAATAGCCACTGTGTCATAAAGAGCTTCTTCACTGTAGCTATTTTCTTCATTTTCATCTATCTTGTCCTTTACACAAATGTTATCTGAGAATTCTTCATCTGAAACAATGGGTTTCTTAAAGTTTGTAACAGACAGAGTCTGCTGTGTGAAAGAAGGGGAAGAATTACTGCTACATGAACTGTTAGTTCCAGAAGAATGACTTTTGGACAATAAACCAGATTCATCTTTAAAATCTTCCTTTTCATTAATGCTAGAAATACTAGGTCTGAAAGTGGAAAATGTGCAAATTGGTGAAGTATGGGCATAGTCATTAAAAGCTTCATTTCCTGAAGAAGCACTGAAACTTCTTCCAATTTTTGAATGCTTACAACTTAAGTCTTTTTCAAGAAAATTCTCATTATTTTCATTGTTAACTGCTGTTAAGCAGAGTTTAGTTTCTATTTCATTGGCAATATTGGTAAAGGATGCCTTGGGTTTTTCTCTTGAAGGATGAAAAACAGGTGTTATGGCAGAAACTGGCTGTCTTGGCTTTTTTGGAGGTGGTGTAGGTGGCTTTTTTTTTTTCTGAGAAGTAGTATTGTTTGAACCATCAGATGACAGATTGGAGGTTGGAAGACTGATTAATTTTCCAATAGCCTTTGGTGAGCTTGTTGGTGTCTTTTCACTTGGCTGTTTGGTTGTTAGTGAAGTCTTCTGTTCATTTGAATCACAGCCAACTTCTATTACCGTTACATAGGAACTCTTTTGTGATTTTAACCCTGCAGTGACAGGTTCTGTTTTGGAGGTCTGTTTTTTGCCATTGCCAACAGTGAGTTCAGTAACATGTGATATAGAATTTAATACGTTTTGATCAGACTGAGAAAACAGGTTAACTTCAGTTTCAGTGACATTTGGTGTGCTTTTACTATCAGGTACAGTTTGAGAATTTTTTTGCACAACATTTTCATTATTCTGAACAGCTGAAAGTGAAAGGATATCTATATCGCTATCATCCTGAGTGTTGACAACCTCATTTTCAGTCGAATTTGACGCATCATCAAACTTACTAGCTGAAAAAACAGCACTATGATCATCTCTTGCTGAATGCTTTACTTTTTCAGCGTCTGCCAGAAGCTTTTCCAAGTACTCCACGTAAAATTCTTCCTTTTCTACTTCCTCTTTCAGAAGAGAAACTCTTTCCCTGTGTTTGATTAAATTTGCACGGACATCTTCTTCCCAAGCTTGAGGCAATTCACAATCGGGAAACCGTTGCCCCCAAGCTTTCTGAAAAGCACTGAAAACACTCATGACTGAGAAACTTGCTTGATTCTTATTCTAACTTAAGTTAAACTTTAATCAAAGAGCTTTAGACTTAGTCTTACTACTAGTAAGACTAGTACTAGTACTCTTACGATGATCAGCCTTACGTCTCGGATTGGAGATTACATACCACAAGTTGTCTAATAAAAAGTGAAATTTAGCCCATAACAAAAAATTAGATATGGATTGTATGTAAAGCATTTCTACATTTCTTAGTATATAATAATATCACTTTCACAAGATTTTTACAAGCACACTTTCCACATAATAACATCTCTCGGTAACCACACACAACGATACATCTACCAACAGTTCAACAAACGCTTATTAACTACGTAAACGGCTAGATGGCGCTATCTTATCAATGTGATAGGTGAAAAAATTAGAACATTAATTGTTTGTTTGTGATTGAAACTCGGGCAAAGCTGCTCGAGGGCTTTCTACGCTTGTCATCCCTGATTTTCAAATGATAGTCTAGAGGGATGGCAACTAGTCATAACCATCCACCACCGATTCTTGGGTTACTCATTACCAACGAATAGTGAGATTGATCATTACATTATAACGCCCCCACGGCTAAAAAGGTATGTATGTTCGGGTACGGGATTTGAACTCACCCTCCTCAGATTGCGAGTTATGTTCCCTAAACACCAGGCTATACCGATAAATAAGCAGAGAGAATGTGGTGTTTAGTTGGTGTTAAGCACAAAGCTACACACAGACCCCAGTGGCACAGAGGTATGTCTGCGGACTTAGAACGCTAGAAACCAAGTTTCGATACGTGGTGAGCAGAGCACAGATAGCCCATTGTGTTGCTTTGCGCTAAACTTCAAACAACAACAACAAAGCTACACACTCAGCTATCTGTGCTATGGCAATCGCGGGTATCGAAAACCGATTTTTAGCATTGTAAGCCTGCAGACTTACCGCTGAGCCATTGTTGGCCTAGATTTTAAAGTACTCATATATTGAAAATCTTTGTCTATTACAAACCTACTAACAGCCATTTCTTATGTTTTTTATAGTACAGTTATATTCACTCCAAAACATGTCCATTATGAAGACCAGTTCTTAACATTTTAGAATACAGTGGAAACAAAATGTACATTTGTAAGTTTTGTGTACATATCATATATTAGCATGTATGTTCAATAAATAAAACGAAAGGGGGATTATAAACTATCATGTATATTTATTAAATCAACAAATACATGTTTCAGCCGACTTCTTAATTCACGAATATTAGTAACATTTATAAACTGACGAGTCGATTTTGAGCTTTCCTGGGTAACAAAGATGAAAGAACCACGAAATATGGCACATACAATTTAGCTCAACATGCAAAGTTATACTTGGCGACCATAGTTAACGTGTTGCAAAATAGGTCATATCAAACAAGGGTAATACCCAAAGTCAGAGCCGACACTAATTCATTCTCCACACTATTAAAGACAAAAGAAAATACTAACTCAGCAAATATCATTCACTCATTTTGACTTATAACTCATATAATTATCACGTAAGCTAAATTTTGACGCTTTAAAAGAAATATTGATTTATCATAATTGCGAGTAAAACCTTATATGTCCATTGATGCACCTAAAGCTACGACCTAAACAAAAATCATAATACAGATAACAATGAATTTCAGTTCATTCTTGGTATTGGTATTGTTGCGTCATCGAGTC